CCCACCGCCTTTCTCCTCAGAGGAGCAACAGCGGCTGCATACCTTGTGTCCAGTCCGTGCTCTGCGCATTTACATGGACCGAACCCAGAGTGTCAGACAAAGTGACCAGCTGTTCATGTCCTGGGCTAAAACACATATGGGAAAGCCTGTGTCTAAACAGCGCCTCTCACATTGGATAGTAGAAGCAATTGCCCTGGCCTATACTAGCAGGGGCCTTCAGCCTCCTGCTGGCTTGCGTGCGCATTGCACTAGAGGTCTGGCAACCTCATCGGCTCTCTTTAGGGGAGTTTCTATTCAAGAGGTGTGTGCAGCTGCATGCTGGACCTCACCTCATACATTTGCTAGGTTTTACAGGTTAGATGTGACGGCACCTAACTTAGCGCATTCAGTCCTCAGTGCAGGTTCTTCCCGGGTGGGGGCCTCTCCCCTGTGAAGTGCTGTTGGGGACAGTTGTCTTCTTAACAGGCATGTCTGGCAATCCGGGAGTCAGTATTTCTCCCATAGTGAGACACGAAACGAATGCTATGAAAGAGAACTTAAGGTTATGTATAGAACCCCGGTTCTCTGAGTAGCATGAGTGAGTGTCTCACCAGACCGCCCTCCTTGCTATAGAAGCGAGGAAGAGGTGGGCTTGTTTTGAATGACATCTGATGCTATGTCAGCCTATTATATAGGGAGGCACTAGCCCCTCCTGACATAGGCGTCACCTAGGCAGCCTGTAAGGGCTGGCGTAATGGTATTTGAGCTTCTGATGAGGTCACGCAGGAGGCGTTCCTCCATAGTGAGACACTCACTCATGCTACTCAGAGAACCGGGGTTATATACATAACCTTAAGATTTTCGTAACACAAGTAAGATTATCCAGCACTGTTAGGTAATAATGATACATTGTTTTTATTTATATTGTAATGCGCATTACTTACAGCGCATAAAGCATGTGTCACATTCTGTTGTGTTCTGGAAACTGTTGTCGTCCGTTACATTGGACAGGCTAAGGGTTGGCTGTCTGCACCAGCAGAGTCCATCTGTTGAAGGCCTGAAGCCAGAAAACTACCTAGCTTCCTCTGCTCCTGCAGAGATTCATTTACACCAGCCATCAGAGCCATTCACATAGAGCAGCAGTACATTCTTGGCTGTGTGTATTGGTGTAACACGAACATTGTGTACAGACATTGCATTAGTCATTAAAGAAAATCTGCTGTACAGACAGAATGGAAAATGGACAAATGCTATACAAAAAAAAGAGCTTGGGCCTAGGAATATGCTGAGGAAACGTGAAACAAAGGCTCTGAAAATGTTTTCATTTGCTGTTAGTTTGGAAACGGTTTCCTGTAGGTTTATGGGTATAATGCTTTTTTGTAAAAGCATTCCCAAAAACATAATAATATTAAGATGAGTCAAATATTGACTATATTTTGTTTTATTAACCCGCTGAGGTTCAAGTCCTCATTGGTGATAATCCTAACCCTATTCTGGAGGAGAGCAAAACGGGTATTTTGATTAAAATGAGCTGAATATGTGTCTTTACATGTTTTGTTTTTTGAGGCATGTTGCTTCCATTATTTATTGATGTATTTTTTTT